TCCTTAACTTTTTAGGTTGGAAGAGATTGTCTTAATATCTACAGCTCCAGAATCTGGGTTTCCAGAACATTTATTTATCTGCCAAATAATATTTATTAGTTTTCCAATTTTTTAACAAACCAATGCCTGATTACATCAAATTTAATATTTATTTATTACACTTGCATCCTACAAATCCTCAGGATGGTTTTCATGATGTCCCTCATCCCCATTTATCTTCACAACAGCTTTCTGAGGAATGTTAGGCTGAGCTATAAGTGGCTTAAGTCTACCCAGTGATCTTCGTGGCTCAGTTAGAGCTTGAACCCATGTCTCCATGCATTCTAACCACTACACACTGTTCTGTCATAGGTAATAACTACAAGAAGAGTTTTTCTGTGCATGTGCAGATTGTCCTTTTACCCTTGAGCAGTTGCAACCTATCCATATTTATTTAAGAGTGAAGAAGTCAGGTGGCATGGTCCCCAAGCAAACATGACCTCTCTTTTCTAAAAATGAAGCATTGTTGCAGGCAGCACCATGGGCGTAGCCTGGATTTTTGTTTGTGGGGGGGGCAGGACTTTTGTTAGGAGGTGCAGAACCGACATGATTGGTTAGTTACTTAAGTATTTCTATTGTTTTTTCCTTGATCGGGGGGGGGGGGGCAGCTGCCCCCCTTGCCATGAGCAGCACACTTATCTTTGGGCCTGGGAATGAGGCCCTTTACTGGTAACCCATCATCTAGGAAACACAACAAAATCCTGCAGGGAATAAGGATAAGCTGTTGGGCACTGAATAACTTCTGTAGAAACAAATCCAGATAGCTCAAGCAAACAAGAGAAAGCAGATAAATAGCATCTTAAATTCACAAATAAGCTCTAGGGGGCAGTATATCCCAGTGTTTCGCATCTAGATCAGGTCCAAAAAGAACAGTCATTTCAGAAATTATCAAAATTAGGCATACCTACAGCCCAATATCAGATGTATAAAGTATTATCCTGAGTTGCAGGGGATTGTAAGTGAGATCAAAGGGAAAGGAAATGCCCCCAAACCTTCTTAACAATGGACTGTTAATAACCTAATTATCACCATCTGAACTTATCTTCCTGGCCTCTGCTGTTTACAGTTCCTCCCACATATTGCTGGCCCTCTGGGTCATTTATAGCCTCAGCCCCTTTCAGGATCAACTGATATAAATTATCGGGGCTGGGGGAGGCCAGTTTGAATAACTGATATAAAGCAAGCTTCCCATTGATATAGCTCCATATATATTGCAACAATGTTGATTTACAAGAAAAGATAAGTATAAAAAGATGTTTATACTGTATAAAAAGATGTTTATACTGTTATTTCCTTCTTACAACCAAGCTTCACATACCTTTTGCGGAAGAAAAACCGCAAATGCTAGGTGGTTGAATTGTGGAGGCATTGTTTGAAACTATTGCAAGTGACACTGTCCTAAATAGTTGGTCTGCCATTTAAATCCTGCAATGAAAAGTGCACCTAGGATTGATTTCAACCTCATTTTTGTGGAGGGAAGATTAAGATACCTCCGGCCAGTATGATCAGTAATCAAATATTATTAGAGTTGTAGTCCACCTAATACATTTTTCTGCATTGGAGAGGGTTGGACTAGATGACCCTCAGGGTCCCTGCCAACTTCACCATTTGATGGTTCTGCTTCTGCCATGTGGAGCAGCTCTCTGGGGTTTCAGGTGGGAGTCTCATCAAGCCCTACTACCTGGGAGACACCAGGAGCTGGACCTGGGACCTTCTGCATGCAAACAACACGTTCTACCACTAAGTTACAGTGTTTCCCATCACTGCAATAAAGTTTTCCCAGTGGCCAGCAATCTGCAGCGGATCTGTTGGCTCTTGCATCAGTTCATTTCCAGCTTCCGTCTCTTTGCTTATGCTTGTATCTATATGGAACTCAGGAATGGGCAGAAAACTTTTCTGTCCTATCAAGCATATGCAGGCAATTTAAAGCACATCACTCACAATGGTCTCCTGGTGTTTGTTTTTAATTATTTTGTTTTTAATTTGTGTGTGTGTGTGTGTATATATATATATATATATATATATATATATATATATAATATGCAAATGTAAACTACTGTGATAATATCTCTAATATTGCTTGCTAATTTTTCTGGTACTGCTTCATGCCTTTAGTTCCCTGTCTTGCTGCCATGAAGACGCAGTGATGGGAAACAGTTCACTGGTGACATTTCTGCTAATTGAACAATTGTAAATACAACTGAGCCACAAGAGAAGTAAAAGGAAGCTATTCTGGGAAGTGCAGCACCTTCCCAAATTTTGTGGGATAAATGTCTGTTTCTGTGGTCTGCCGATGTGAACCGGACCCTTGCAATGTTGCAAGCAGCTTCTTGTTCTCTTGATCTCTGTCCATCCAGGCTGCTAAAGCTGACAAGTGTATCCAGGGGCCTGCACCCTTTGGTCAAGCAGTAGTACATACATCCCTGAAGAAACCTCTGTGATGAAAAAGTTGGAGATAGGTAGGGAGACAGGTTAGGAGACAGGCTGAGGTATAAAGAGTGAATGGGAGAAAGAGTTGGTCTGGAAAAAACAACTTCCACTCTGAGTGTATTGTGAAGGACAGAGTGTGGTGTCCTGAAGGAGAAATAGACCGGAATTTTACTGGGAGGCAGAGGTTGAGCCAGGATATTAGGAGCTGGAAAGAAGCAGCCTACTTGGGACTCAAATCTAGTCTGGAGAGGGGAGATAGATTGTAGATCAATCGGTGGTGGAAATTCTGTGCAGTGTTTGATCTGGCAAGTAGTTTGAGGAGAAAGGATACACACCTGGTGCTTCAGAAATCTGCCTGCCCTCACTGTAGTCTTATTCTTATCCTGAATGCAATTGTAGGACAGCCAAGCGGAGCAGTTTCCCAAGTTATCATTCTCTTAGGATTGCTTCACACACTATTTAGATAGACATCTGAATGTTCAGCAAATCCATGTAAATTTCAATTCAGATAGAGCTATTCATGACATCATAGCTGTTAACATGGTGATCAAAGTTCTCTGTCAATAGTATAATCACATTGATGTAGCAATACACAAGAGTTTAAGTATTAACTGGTCAGGGTGGCAGAATCATTTTGTCTGGATGAATAGAAACTGGTCTAAAGAGCAACAATTTGGAACAAAAATGAGGTTCAAATTTAACAAATAAATAATAAGATCCAACCTCCCACTAAACTACACTTTTAAAAGCTACAATCCTAAAATCATTGAACTATTCCCGCTTGCACTTTGCCTTTGCTGTTTTATTACATTTTTAATGGATGCTTATTGTTTTGATATATTGATGTAAACCACTTTGTGAGGTTCTTTTCAAAAGCAGTACATAAGTAAATGAAATGGTAGGGATTGAGAGGGACGTATTTCTTACTAAATGGATCTGTCTTGATTTATAATAATTAAAAATCATGATCAACCAAAAATAAAAGAGAATGAAAAAGTTATATGGATGGCATCACAGAGAGCATAAAACACCCAAGCTTGAATAAAGAATTAAACCATGTGGGTGAACCAAAAGGTCTTCACTAGATGATTTAGAGAAGATCATCAGGAAAAGGCATCAGCAAAGACATTTGCTTCAAAAGCTCAATGTATATTTTGAAAGAGCAATCTTTAAATAACCATAACTTTTCCATTCATTAAGTTTGCCTAAAAATTCTTTTCACTATAAGTTATTTTACCAGAAATCATACTTCAATGTGGGTGCTCTTTGGAACGAGGTGTAATTAATTAATGTGTATCCTTCCTCAGCCTTCCTCAGAGGCCAGACATGCTAATGCGCTTATCTCGCCTCACGGGTGGGTCCCCCCTGCGGGGTGGGGTGTCATTATGTGAAGAGGGAGCGAAGAGGAGACCGAGGGGACGGGGGGAGAAGCGGGGAGACCAGGGAGGAGGAGGGCGGCCGGTGTGACGCCGCAGGGGAAGGCGTGGCCAAAGGGCGCCAAGGCAGGAGAGGCGGGGGCGGTTTGGGCGGGAAACGGCGCGCGGCGCCACCCTGGATTCTACGCGGCGAGGCGAGAGGGAGTGGGGGATGGGCGGCCGTTGGGACCAGAAAGAGGAGCGGGAAGGACACCCCCGCCCCCCCCCCGTTGCCCCCCAAGACGTTCGTTAAAGCGCTGATGCTGCGGGAACGTAATAAGGGAAGACAATGTCGAGAGGGAAGTCCTTAAGAGTTATCTCGTAGCCGTTCCCCATAGGGCGCCACAATCTTCCCTCAGGCATATACAGTGGTACCTCTAGTTCACAGGCAACCATCTTATAAAGCTTCATTGAAGGCAGTAGAGCAAAAACCTGGGGGGGGGGATTAAGGGCAAGAAAATGAAATAAAGTGTTCAAAATATCCCCCCACAAAGTTTTTAATAGATATAAATGCCCATGTTGCAGGCTAAGGCACATACAAGTTAAACTTATATGTCTTTAAAGCTTTGGAGAGCAACTTAACACACTCGTGGTAGAAAAATCAATTAAACCTTATATCCCCATCTCAAACTTCTGTTTTCAAAAAAATGGAAGACTCATGAATGGAAACTGAACTTATTAACACAGAAAAGTGTTACTAAATCTACTTATAGCAGGATCTACAAATATACTTTTGCATACAAAGAAAAAAAAGCAACTTCCTACCACATTTATTGCCACCTACTCTAGCCTCAGATACAGAGACTTAAAAAGAAAAGGAAAGGGACAGAAAGCCCATTGGTGGATTAAAATGTGTCTCAGGAATATTCAGCCATTAGAAGACGTGACCTTTTATCTCTAGAACCACATGTACTGCGCAACTGACTTTTTTCTATGGAAAAATTAACCTTGCATACAGGAAAGTGAATGTTTCAGTAAATGGAAAGTTAAAGGAAGACTCCAGACAAGCTAGTAAAGGAACAAACTTTATTCAAAACATCCAAGTCATACATTAAAAGGCATTAAAAGAGGGAGCTTGGGAAATATGTACAGGATAGCGAGGAAGGAGTTGGGATGCTAATCTGGAACCTGACTTAAAGAGAAAAACTGAGAGTCCAAAACACTTCCATCAACATTCTGCATTTGTCCAGGATTTGAAGCTGAATAATTCCCCGTTGCAGACCAGGGAGTATAACTGCTTGATGCCATGAAGAAGTTACCAGATGATGGTGGAGGCTGCCTCACCATCTCCGCACCGTAATATGGAACTGGGCAGTTGCTCGCCTGGGAAGTCTCATAAAGCCCAGTTCCACAAAAAGCAGCTTGCTGGTAATAAGCAGGGTTCAATTCCAGGGAGCTCTGCTGTTGCGGGGCACACTCTCCTGGTTGCGTGTTGTTGAGAGGTGGCTGCCACAACCCTGCTCCTCTATTGCTTTCAGCATAATGCAAGTTCTGTGGCTGGTAATATTGTTGCATGAGAATATTTTGGAGGTTTCCTGGACTGCTTCTTGGGCTGCTGTCCAGGCTGCTTCTTGGACGGGTTCTCTCACTCCGGCTATAAGGAGCTGCAGCATGGTTCCCGCTGCTCATCCTGGAACCTATCCTCTTTGGCGTTCTCGCCCTTCTGTTTTGAAACCAGACCTGAATAGAAGAAAGGAGAGAACCAGTATAGAAGACATTGTTACCATGAATATGTCTTTTTGATCCAACAGAGAGAATTACATTTAATAAATTATGCTTATTCCTCTAGAGTTTCTCTTTAGTTCTCTGCAGCATTTTTCTACTCTCTTCAGCTCCACATTCATATATCCCATGTACATAATCTCCACTAACAGTAAGTTATAAAGCTTCTAAGTTGGAATGACTAAATACTGCTATTTGGCTGTATTTTGTTCTGCTGTATCAGAAAAAGCCACCTTTAAAAGCTGCACAAGTGTACAGTTCCACAATACTCGCTTTATTGAAGTATAACCTGTGGATGTGAGCTTCACATGTAAGAAATTGTCAAGCGTTTGTTAATGCCAAGTGGATGGCTGCATACAAGACTTAACATCTCTTTGGGCATTTGTGCTGGAAGGCAACACTTTATGCCTGGCAATTGTTTTAAAAATTCCATAAATATAGTAATAGTAATTTTAAATAGCTCACTCAGAAGACCTACCCATTTGTTCTGCCCTGTTTGGGGTCAGAATCTCAGAAAACTCAGAATCTGCATTAAATGAATGTGTGCTGTGCATAAATTTACTGGGAAGGAAAAGGAAGCCTTCATCAGGAACCAGGATTTCTGAACAAGTATGGGCACAATTGCTTCCTAAATTTGAAAAGGAGGGAGCACAATCCATCCACCCTTTACAAAAAACCTTTACATCCACGATACACTCCCCCCCCAAAAAAGCTGAGAGGCACCAGGGTGAACTAAGGCCTGCGACTACGCAAGGATTATTCTGAGCGTTTCATTGTTCCAGTATGTGCGGTTTAGCGAAGTCTTGGGAGCCCCCACCATCCCGATTCTTACGTGCACACGATCTTCTTCAATTCCGATGCACCTGGCCAGCGCCTCCCTGGTCTCGTATCCGGGGTACTGGTTCTCTTCAAACTCCTTCTTTAAAAGCTCGATTTGGGCAGGGGTGAAAACGGTCCTTTTTCTCCTTTCTCCTCCGACTTTGGGGTGGCTTCCTCCTGGGAAAAGACAAAGAGGCAAATCTGAAGGAAGCGCTCGGCTTAAACAGATGCGACGCTTGCAGATCTTCCTCCCGACATGGAAAGCTCAGGACTGCATCGCCTGCACTTTCCCCCAGAATCGGGCGCTGCCTGAGGTTACACTGCGTAAAACCACCCCCGGCTTCAGTGGCAATTCTTTCAACCGCCCCGCTGACCACCCACCCGGCAGAGCGCAGAAGGGCAAAGCCTTCGCTTTTTACAGAAAGGCTTTTGTACCTGACATTGAAATCCACGCACTTTGTGGCCTTTGAATAAACCTCCAGTTGCTCGGAACAAGGCTTGATGAAAAGGCGAAGCGTAAGAATTTAACTCTTATTTCTACGCCTGCCATCCTTTGTCGCAACTGATCCCATCCACGTTTATTGGGAAATTTAATCCGGTTTTGTGAAAGGGATTTAACATTCAGAAAGTGTGTGTGTAAATGCTTCATGCAGCAAAATGCAGTAAATTCTTCATGTTTATAAGGAAAGAGGTGCAAACCAATCTTGCGAACTGTTCCTAACCGAATACATTTGAGCTCCTGTGTAATCCCTCCCCGGCTACCACAAATGGGTCTTTGAAAGCCTTTCCTACACCCCGATCCTGATCCTGACCCAGAAACAGAAACACCCTTCATTTATAAAAACCGTCGTTTATGAAACCCTGAATTTATATCAATCATTTGAGCAATTTTTTAAAGACAAGTGAACTAAAAGTCTTCTTAACAATCCTCTATTCTTACCTCGGCCGGTAGTTTTCATCTTGTAAAAAAGCTGCCTCGCTCTCTTCCAACAAACTTGGTTTTCGCTTGCAAATTGCCCTTGCTCCTCAAGGCCCGCTCCAGGTTTCTGGAGTTCGGCGCCTTTATAGCCCCTCCTGGCTGCCAATTGGCCGGCGCGTTTTCCTTGGAGAGAAGCGCTCCAATGGGGAGGCGGCTTTTGGGGAGGAGCGAGATTCAAGTTCACTTTTCAAGCGCTGCTTGACCAATCTAGATGGGCTGGAGCGCACCCTTCCCTTAGCATCACCCCTTAGCAAAACTGGAAAATAGCCCCATAGGCGGGGAGAATTACCTCGCACAGTTGAAGAGAAGGGAATTGAGAAGACGGGTTGGGCAGCGAGAGAGCCAGACAGAACTGTGGTTTATTTTTTAAAAATATTGTAATGAAGGCTTCATTTTGCAGACAGAGATGCGCCAAGACTTAGGCATGTTGAAAGGCTTTGCCCAAGAAGCCTAGATGCAGCAAGTACACTCTGAAACCCCCTGCCTTTTGAGACGAAGCAGGCGCCTTCACTGCACCCTTTTCGGCGCCTGCTATAAACTTTGTTTCCTTTCCTTTACCTGCAGAAAGTTGCTATGCCTTTTAATCGGTGGTTTTTGCTTAACTGTAATTGCATTTTGCATGTTTTTCACTTTGACTTTTATCGATCATGTTCATGCTTTCGTAAGCCGCTTAGAGGTTTTCGTTAAGGTTAGGCGGTGCAAAAACTTGAAGGGAAGAATGTGAGTAACACCATTGCAAATAAAGGGAAGGCAAACTCCTCTTGCCAAGAAGTCAGTAGGTCTTTCAAGCCCAAGCGGTTGATGTTAGATGCTCAGAGTATTCAGCCCCGGACAGACGTCGCAACCAAATCCTGAATCTACACAGTCTCAATGCACTATCGCTTGTAACTGCAAGGGGGTTGCATTCTCTTTCTTTCTTTCTTCTTCTTTTATTAAAGATTTTCTTGTTTTACAGAAGTATGTGTAATGTCTCTCGTATTTTTTACATGTAACATTTTTACAAATCCGTTTCATTTGTTGAGACATTAGGGGGAGAAAAAAAGGGGTGGAGGGTGGGGATATGCGTGGGGGTGGGCGTGGGGGTGGGTGGCGATGTTTCTATTATGCTTAATTTAGGTAGGGTTTGGTGTCAGCGTTGCTTGTGCTGTTCACTTGTATTCCTAACGGGCTTTCCGTTTCCTGGGCTTGCTTCAAACGGTGCTGGTGCTTCCTTTCTTTTTCACTTCAACTATTTCTCTTTCTGTCTTTCTATCCCCACAACTTTCACGTGGCCATATTCCTCTGCCTTTCAGGGACTTGCGGCATCCAAATAGCCTGCCGCTCCACCCTACACCCGAGGCAAGATAGTTGCCTCCGATCCTCAAAGGAACTGAAAACGTTCTGAAACCTTCCAGCTCATACAATGCATGTTCCCAGTCCCTGGCAGTTTGTTAATCAAGAATGGTTCTCTGTTGGTACATTCTTTGTTATTTTTGCATAAGATAATTAACACAAGGGACCCTCCCTAAGTGTACCTATAAACCCTATTCATAGGTATGCTGACTCAGAATCGGCAAGGAAACTTTTTTTCGAGTAAGAACTACTTTTTTTACTACTGAAAAAAAGCTTCCGTGAAGGTTGGGGGCGTTACAGAAAGATGTGGGAACCTCAGCAAACATATCAGTACTGTCTCAGGAAAGATTATCCCTGAACAAAAGAGGGCTCACAATGGGGGTGGGAGAGACACGATGAAATGTCTCTAATTTCTGCCATCATGATCGCTTAGAACCTCGGTATATTTCTGCAGAAGGCAACTGATTTAAATATGTATTCCTGTAAGGTACTTACAGTAGGGACTAGCAGAATTTCCTGGAAAACATTTACTTGTATCCTTTGGGATACAATACGTTGCAATCTATCTCAATATATTCTTCATCATAGCGGTGGAACATCTATCAAGAATGTAAAGGGTGTCTTATTCGTTCCAGAATATAGAAATGTGTGCCAACTAATTTGCTTCAAAATTCTCTTATTTTGGAATGGAGATTTAGGATGCTGTGCAAAGTTCTTAACCCGAGGTACTATTTCTGGATTAGCAGAGTCTAGAACCTGAAGTGTCTGTAACCCGAGGTACCACTGTATTTCGAAGCATTCTTTTCAGGTGGTCATAGAATGGCTTCCATATAACATTAAAATCTAGGGATTACGGCATGTATTAGCTGTGAAGTAGACTTTTTACTCATCAACGTTGGAATCCAAGTATGTCTGTTTATGATGGTATGTGAAGTGGATTCCAAACCATTTATACTTGATAGTAAATATTTCCAGACAATTTGGCCTCGGCTAGGGACATTAATATTCCATTTTTGAGAATCGTACTTCCATCTCACTTTACAGTCCTGTGAGGCTCCCACAATAAATAAATAAAAAGCTCACAATCAAGCTGATATCCAAGTCACGTCATCCTCAGTATTAGTTTCATATCTCAAAATGGGACAAATATATGGTCTTCCCAAGAGGGTTACCAAAACGGGGACTGGGGGTGCAATGGTGCTCTTGAGGACTTCCACTGGCACCCCAAAAACATCTGAGACACACATCTCCCCTGCTCACTGCCCTCTTCCTCAGGAACTGGAAAACTTTATCGGATAGAGTAGACCTTCGTTCACAAAAGCATGCCACAATAAATTTGGTAGGCTTTGACGTGTCAAAACACTGTTTGCGCTGTTAATTCAACACGTATTTCCGAGCAGAAACTTGACCTCCTGCTCCGTGTGTTTCAGTAGCCATGCAGTTTAACTGTTCATTAAAACAACCACCAGCACAGGGCCAATCTCACATTGACATTGCTGCTGTTCATATTAGGAAGTTACTTTGTGGTACATTGTGCTTGGAAAGTTGCCAAGTTACAAGTTACGTGGTGAAACATTGTGATCTTTGAACCTTGGAGGAGAAAGGGACATAATGTATAAACCAACTACGTAGTAATATGTTGCAACGCAGCTATGTCTTTGATACCTAAACTTGGTTTGCTGGTTTTCCTTTCCTCGTCCTCTTACAAATAAGCCCAATTCAATGTTCCGGGTTGCTATGTTCTCATGGTTTTTATTTACTGAATTTATACTCGGAGCCTAGATCGGCAGTACACACTTTGTGTGTGTGTGCAGGGATTGTGGTGTTATTTTGTGTGTGTGTGCAGGGTTTGTGGGGTGTGTGTGTGTGTGTGTGTGTGTGTGTGTCTGTCTGTGTGTGGAGTGATTTGAACTTCCCTGGCCTCAGGCCAACACGCAGATACGCCGCCAAATATATATATGCCTGAGGGAAGATGGCGCCGCCGCGCCCTATGCTGACGCCTGGGAACGGCTACGAGATAACTCTGAAGGGCTTCCCTCTCGGCATTGTCTTCCCTTATTACGTTCCCGCAGCATCAGCGCTTTAACGAACGTCTTGCTGGGGCAACGGGGGGGGGGTGTCCTTCCCGCTCCTCTTTCTGGTCCCAACGGCTGCCCATCCCCCACTCCCTCTCGCTTCGCCTCATAGAACCCAGGTTGGCGCCGCGCGCCGTTCCCCCCCGCGCACGCGCCCCGCCTGTCCTGCCTTGGCGCCCTTTGGCCACGCCTTCCCCTGCGGCGTCACACCGGCCGCCCTCCTCCTCCTCCTTCTCCCTAGTCTCCCCGCTTCGCCCCCCCCGTCCCCTCGGTCTCCTCTTCGCTCCCTCTTCACACAATGACCCCCCCACCCCGCAGAGGGGACCCACCCGTGAGGCGAGATAAGCGCATTAGCATGTCTGGCCTCTGAGGAAGGCTGCCCCCTCTCGCCTTCCCTTCTGCTCCTTTCATTCCTTCATCCTTCTGCTCCCCTGTGGCCCCTCCAGGCTCAGCGCGGGGGGGGGGGGGGACCGGCTGCGCTGCCCTAAATCCGCCTCTGCTTGGAAGTTTTTTCTCTCTCTTTTATTTATGGTTGATCATGATTTTTAATTATTATGAATCAAGACAGATCCATCTAGTCAGAAATACGTCCCTCTGAATCCCCACCATTTACTTATGTGCTGCTTTTGAGATGAACCTCACAAAGTGGTTTACATCAATATATCAAAACAATAAGCATCCATTTAAAATGCAATAAAACAGCAAAGGCAAACTGCAAGGGGGTAAAGTTCAATGCTTTTAGGATTGTAGCTTTTAGAACTGTAGTTTAGTGGGAGAGAAATTCTTCTCTATCCACTTTCTCCATGCAATGCAAAATTTTATAAATTTCTGTCATGCCACGTCTTATCCAACTTTTCTCTAAACCAAAAATTCCCCAATGCTCCAACCTTTCCTCATTGTTCCATCCACTTAATCACTCTGCTTGCCCTTTTCTGAATTATCTGAACTGGAGATCTGTGATAACGCATCACATGCTTGTATGCAGAGGGTGGGATGAGGGGCGCAACTAATCCGTTTCCCACTTCCCCACTCCAGTCCTAATTGCTTTCTAAATTGCTGTTTCCTTTGCATGGCAGTGGTGGGAAGAAGGTGGGAAGAACGCTGGGTGTTTTGCAGTAGATCAGAAAGGATTCCTGACCTCACCTCCCCGTGTTTATAAATACAGTAACCGCAAAATAATCCCCCTCCCCCTCTCCATTATACTGCTGAGATGAAGAATACTTGAGTTAACCAGGAACGGATTTACGTGTGGAAAGCCTGTGAGCTCCCATTAATTCTGATTCTCAAAACAAGTTCCTGGGCTCATAATTCTTGTATTCTAAGTCTATAGCTTTTGTATTAAGCTCTTCCTTGCTGGATCCTAGGTTCTAGTTAAAGTGAGGAAAGCAAATCTCTTGCTGCATGGTGCCTGCGACTTGCAAGCCCCTTATTGGGCAAATATTAGTTCTGAGTGGGCAACTTGGATGGGTAAAAGAGCATGGTATTTACACCTCTTCCCCAGCGCCACAAATAGTTCTGAATCTCTACTCCCCTCCCCTCGTTTGCTGTTTTCAAACCCAACAACAGATGACTA